ACCACCGCATTCAACCATGGCAAGTTGACTGGGAATATGGCAGAATACAAACAGTGTAGCTATTCACTCCGCAAGGCAATTAAACTGGCAAAACCTCAGTATAGAGACAAAGTGGAGTCGCAATTCAACGGCTCAGACACGAGACGTATGTGGCAGGGTCTACAGACAATCACGGACTACAAAAGGAAAACCAGCCACGTCGCCGACACCGACGTCTCGCTTCCAGACAAGCTAAACACCTTCTTTCCCGCTTTGAGGATAACACAGTGCCACTGACGAGGCCTACTACCAAGGACTGTGGCCTCTCCTTCTCCATGGCCGACGTGATTAAGACATTTAAGCATGTTAACCCCCGCAAGGCTGCCGGCCCAGACGGCCTCCCTAGCCGCGTCCTCAGAGCATGCGCAGACCAGCTGGCTGGTGTGTTTATGGACATATTCAATCTCTCCCTTTCCCAGTCTGCTGTTCCCACATGCTTCAAGATGGCCACCATTGTTCCTGTACCCAAGAAAGCAAAGGTAACTGAACTAAATGACTATCGCCCTGTAGCACTCACCTCTGTCATCATGAAGTGCTTTGAGAGACTAGTCAAGGATCATATCACCTCTACCTTACCTGTCACCCTAGACCCACTTCAATTTGCTTACCGCCCCAATAGATCCACAGACGATGCAATCACCATCACACTGCACACTGCCTTATCCCATCTGGACAAGAGGAATACCTGTGTAAGAATGCTGTTCATTGACTATAGCTCAGCATTCAACAGCATAGTACCCTCCAAGCTCATCATTAAGCTCGAGGCCCTGGGTCTGAACCCCGCCCTGTGCAACTGGGTCCTTGACTTCCTGATGGGCCGCCCCCAGGTGGTGAAGGTAGAAAACAACATCTCCACTTCGCTGATCCTCAACACTGGGGCCCCACAAGGGTGCGTGCTCAGCCCCCACCTGTACTCCCTGCACGCCTCCAACTCAATCATCAAGTTTGCAGACGACACAACAGTAGTAGGCTGTTTGCACTGCCCCCCCACCCCATCTTTTTATGCTGCTGCTACTCTGTTAATTATTTATGCATAGTCACTTTAACTCTACCCACATGTACATACTACTTCAACTACCTCAACTAGCCGGTGCCCCCGCACATTGACTCTGCACCGGTACCCCCCTGTATATATAGCCTCCCTACTGTTATTTTATTTTACTTCTGCTCTTTTTTTCTCAACACTTTTTTGTTGTTGTTTTATTTTACTTTTTTATTAAAAATAAATGCACTGTTGGTTAAGGGCTGTAAGTAAGCATTTCACTGTAATGTCTGCACCTGTTGTATTCGGCGCATGTGGCCAATACAATTTGATTTGATTTGATTTGATTTAAGGCTTGATTACCAACACTGACGAGACCGCCTACAAGGAGGAGGTGAGGTGTGGTGCCAGGAAAATAACCTCTCACTCAACATCAACAAAACAAAGGAGATGATCGTGGACTTCAGGAAACAGCAGAGGGTGCACCCCCCTATCCACATCGACGGGACCGCAGTGGAGAAGGTGGAAAGCTTCAAGTTCCTTGGCGTACAAATCACTGACAAACTGAAATGGTCCACCCACGCAGACAGTGTGGTGAAGAAGGCGCAACAGAGCCTCTTCAACCTCAGGAGGCTGAAGAAATTCGGCTTAGCACCTAAAACCCTCACAAACTTTTACAGATTGTCACGGATTCTGCCAAGGCTGCTCCTCCTCCTTGCTCGGGCAGGCTTCGGCGTTCGTCGTCCCCGGAGTACTAGCTACTGCCGTTCGATGTTATCGGTGTTTGTTTAGTCGTCATTATGTTAATTGTTTCCCTTATAATTACCCCTGTCTCTCATCTGTACTTTGTGTGTGATTGTTTTCCCCTTCACGGTTGTCTATTTTGTGAGCGGGTTATTTCCTCCCTGCGTGGAGTTATTTTCTGTGTCCTTTTGGATCTTTTTCGTATTAAAAGTACGTATCCGAGAGTTCTGTGTCCTGCGCCTGACTTCGTTTACCGCATCTCACAGACAGTCGTGACACAGATGCAAAATTGAGAGCATCCTGTCGGGCTGTATCACCGCCTGGTACGGCAACTGCACCACCCACAACCGCAGGGCTCTCCACAGGGTGGTGCGGTCTTTCGAACGCATTACCAGGGGCAAACTACCCACCCTCCAAGACACATACAGCACCCGATGTAACAGGAAGGCCAAAAAGATCATCAAGGACATCAACCACCCGAGCCACTGCCTGTTCACCCCGCTATCTTCCAGAAGGCGAGGTCAGTACAGGTGCATCAAAGCTGGGACCGAGAGAATGAAAAACAGCTTCTATCTCAAGGCCATCAGACTGTTAAATAGCCATCACTAGCTCATTAGAGGCTGCTGCTGCCTATTGAAATCACTGGCCACTTTAAGAAATGGAACACTAGTCACTTTAATAATGTTTACAGATGTTGCAGTGCTCATCTCATATGTATATACTGCATTCTATTCAATAATATTAAACTGTATTTTAGTCCATGCCACTCTGTCATTGCTTGTCCATCTATGTATATATTCTTAAATCCCATTCCTTACTAGTTGTGTGTGTATTGGGTATATGTTGTGAAATTGTTAGATATTACTTGTTAGATATTACTGCACTGTCGGAGCTAGAAGCACAAGCATTTCGCTACACCCACTATAACATCTGCTAAACACGTGTATGTGACAAATAACATTTGGTTGGATGTACTGCCAAATTCTCTAAAATGATGTTGGAGGCAACTTATGGAAGAGAAATTAACATAAAATTATCTGGCAACAGCTCTGGTGTACATTCCTGCAGTCAGCATGCCAATTGCACGCTCCCTCAAAACTTGAGACATCTGTGGCATTGTGTTGTGTAACAAAACTGCACATTTTAAAGTGGACTTTTATTGTCCCCAGCACAAAGTGCACCTATGTAATGATCATGCTGTTTAATCAGCTTCTTGAAATACCACACCTGTCAGGTGGATGGATTATCTTGACATTTTACATTTTGCAGACGCTCTTATCCAGAGCGACTTGGGAATCAAACCCACAACCCTGGCATTGCAAACGCCATGCTCTACCAACTGAGCTACATCCCTGCCGGCCATTCCCTCCCCTACCCTGGGCCAATTGTGCGCCACCCCATGGGTCTCCCGGTCGCGGCCGGCTACGACAGAGCCTGGATTCGAACCAGGATCTCTAGTGGCACAGCTAGCACTGTGGTGCAGCGCCTTAGACCACTGCACCACTGGGGAGACGAGGAGAAAGGACAAAAAGGAGAAATGCTCACTAAAAGGAGAAATGCTCACTAACAGGGATGTAAACATACTTGTTCACAATTTAATAGAAATAAGCTTTTTGTGCATATGGAACATTTCTGGGATTTGTTATTCATTTTATTTTAGCTCATAAAACATGGGACCAACACTTTACATGTTGCATTTATATTTTTGTTCAGTGTATAAGTATGCCCCCAATGCAATTCGGAAGTCTAATAGCTATATCCACAGTGCGATTTCAACTGATTCTTACTTTTTTGGTCAAATTAACTAATTATTGTCTTAATTTTTTTTTTTAGCATTATCTAGTCCAAATATGGCATGATTCCACTATTTGTATCCATTTGCATCGCGTTCAATTAGGGACTTTTATTTTGAAGGCCAACTGCAAATTCCATTATTGTGGCCAGTCTTTATTGTGGCAATCTAATTAAAAGAGCCGTTTTCCATTCAAATGAAAAATATGAAAACATTGTCAGAATGTTTATAAAACATGACTTTTATAATGACAGTGAGAGTAAAAACGTTATTCTTTAAAAAGGGAAGATAGCAGTCAAATGGGAAGTTATTCCAGAAACGCTTTATATTAGAGGATATATAAAGCTTTATAAACTTTATAACATGTTTATGAACAGTATAACATGTTATTATTAGTTTAAAAACAGCTAGGTAACACTACCCTAAAATGGTTTATAAAGGGTATAGGCTATAAACCTAAATAGTTTATAAACTGCAGATATAACCCAGCACGCAAAAAAAAAAGCGTGCTGCTCGCTATTTTTCGCCTTCCTAAAGCAGATGGCTATCAATGAAGTCCTATCACCAGCGGGTGAGCAAAGTTTGCCTCTATTTATATAGTGATCTATAGATCGTGATTGATAGATCGTTTTATCTGTAATAATCAGTAATAATAATTACTATAATAATAATTATAATAATTATAATGCATTCATTAATGTGCAATTGTGTATTTGTCATTTAGATGCAACTGATTGAATATAAGAAACACTGAGACAGGTACTGTAAGTATTTTCCTCTGATAAATGCTGAAAATGTATGTTTTGAAAAAGTCCTCCCAAGTCCCAACAATCAAACTAAGTCCCAACAATATTGGGTCCCTTAATATATATGGTCCCTTAATTTAAATAAATTAGATGTTTATGTGTTTTCTATGGTAATACTTAATAAAATGAGGTGTACATCTCATTAAGAGTGAACGTGTCTATGAAGAACCACTAGATGTCTCTGCCTGTCCAATTTCTGTTCTAAACTGTGACAAAATGTTCCCTGCTCACGTGCAGTATTCAGCAGCAGTTGCAGTTCTTATTCAGGGCAGCCATATATGGAGGACTAAAAGTGCCACAATTAAATAAATAAATACACCATTAAATAATTACTTAAATGTGTCATTAATTAATTCAAATTAGAATTAAATACATAAATGTGTAATTAAATGTATCATTAATTAATTCAAATACCGATTCATTTTATGTAAAATACATATATAATTATTTCACTATTTACATTTACATTTCATGATCCTGCATTGCAGTGATTCATGAATTACTTAAAACTGTCAAACTGACCCATCAAAGTCAGTGGGCGGGGCTAACGCGAATCTAGTCTGATCCATTGCTTTGGTCTGAAGTAGAGTAGGCCAACCTGGATAGAGACAATGGAGGATCTCCGTGAACTTTCCAGGGAGTTGGTTAGAGACATTTTAAACTTAGCAGAGGATGTAGAAGCAGGACCTGCTGACCCAGAGCATGTAGCTAGTAAAGCAGAGGAACTTATTGAAGTTGTTGGAGTCATTTCCGCACTTTCCGACGAAGATATCGACCACAGAGTGATTGCAAATCTAGAAGAAGTTGTCCACCGCTTCTCTGGTACCAGGGCACTTCAGGCCCAACACACACAGGGACCGGGGCGTTTGGCGTTTGACATACCGAGTGCAGTTCTGGAGCATCAACTTCTTTGTGGAGTTCCCGCAGTTCAAATTGCAGCGATGTTCGGTGTGTCAAAGAGGACCATCAGGAGGCGCATGCAACAATACAGTTTAAGGTATTTACACTAAATTCATGAGTTTTCTGTTTATGAATTGCTGCTCTCATACACTCGGAAAGAATATGACGTTTAAGGTAACATTACTTGATGTTGTGTTTTTCTTGTTTGTACAGAAAGACAGATCTCTATTCAGCTGTGAATGATGAGGAGTTAGACCGTATTGTAAGTGAAATTCACAGAAGTCATCCAAACACCGGCTACAAGCTAATGCGTGGTCACCTGAATGCAAGAGGTGTGCATGTTCCAAGTGAGTAGATAATAATATGGGCATTATTTAAATGTATTTTTAATTTGGAGCTCTGCCCCTTTGAAAGGTGAAGGAAGCCCGCTTATGGAAAGACATCGCCTCTGAGATGTAGAATGTGTAGAAGAAATGTGAAGAGAAACACACATTTCAGGACGGCTGACTTGTATCATCAGGATAGACATGTCCTGTGATTTTTAGCCTCCTGTTTAATAGAGGTGGAACAATATCTGACAGTAATATTCTCAGCTGTCCGGATGTGCCCCTGCTGTAAAGGGTATAATATAATCATAGAAAAGCAAAATATCATAGGAGGCAAAAAATCTCAGGTCATCTCTGTTCGAGCATGTGGTATCTATCTATCTATCTATCTATCTATCTATCTATCTATATATGTGTGTATATATATGTATATGTGTATATATATGTATATTACATTTACATTTTAGTCATTTAGCAGACGCTCTTATCCAGAGCGACTTACAGTTAGTGAACACATATATATATATATTTTTTATACTGGCCCCCCGTGGGAATCGAACCCACAACCCTGGCGTTGCAAACGCCATGCTCTATCAACTGAGCTACATCCCTGCCGGCCATTCCCTCCCCTACCCTGGACGACGCTGGGCCAATTGTGCGCCGTCCATGAGTCTCCCGGTCGCGGCCAGCTGCGACAGTATATGTGTATATATATGTATATATATATGTGTGTATGTATAAATATATATATATATATATAAATATATGTATGTATGTATATATATGTATGTATATATATATATATATATATATATATATAAATATATGTATGTATGTATATATATGTATGTATATATATATAAATATATGTATGTATGTATATATGTATGTATATGTATGTATGTATGTGTATATATATATATATATATATATATATATATATATATATATATGTATATGTATATATAATTTTTATATATGTGTATATATATGTGTATGTATATATATATATACATACATATATATACATATATATATGTATATATATATGTATGTATGTATATGTACAATATCTGACAGTAAAGTACATTTTTGAAGCTGTGGTGGTTCTGTAATAGTTGACTGTTTTACACACATTATTTATTTTATTATGACACCACTATATCCTCAAAATAAGTAGCCAGTGAGTGTGTGGTTATTCATTTTAAATTCCTCCCCTCAGTCTCAAGACTGCAAGAGTCTTTACGCAGAGTCAATGCAGAGGGAGTCTACATGAGACGTCTGAGGCTGCGTGTATTAAGGCGACGGCAGTATTTTGTTCCTGGCCCAAACTCTTTGTGGCATATAGATGGCCACCATAAGCTTATCAGGTCAGTGATATTAGCAGATAAACAAGATAAACAATGCATCTTTCTATATGTTTCATTACAATTGTTATACAATAAAGTTATATTTTTTCATGTGTTTGCAACAGGTGGAGATTTGTTGTCCACGGTGGGGTGGATGGATTCAGTCGTTTAGTGGTCTACCTGACTGTGGCCGGCAATAATAGAGCTCATACGGTCTTACAGAGCTTTATCGCCGCTGTTGAGCAGTATGGGCTGCCATCAAGGGTACGGTCTGACAAAGGGGGGGAGAATGCAGATGTAGCAGAATTCATGATCAGAAGCAGAGGTACCGACAGGAATTCACACATCACAGGCAGAAGTGTCCACAATCAGCGGTAAAGAAATATGTTTGGCAACTAGGCTCACACAACTAACATACTAGTTGAATGTACTTTAGCATATGTCATAAATTAACAATTTCTCAATTTTATCCTAAACACAGAATAGAGAGGATGTGGAGAGATGTTTATGAACATGCCCTGGACCTCTTCTATCAGATCTTTACTTCATTGGAAGATCAGGAGACACTGAATCCAGACAATGAAGTCCATCTTTTCGCTCTGCACCGGATTTTCCTTCCACTGGTTCAGCAAAGCCTCGACTCTTTTCGAGATGCTTGGAACTTCCACGGTCTTAGAACTGAAAGGAATCAGTCACCACAGCAACTCTGGAGAAGTTACAGAGAGCAAGGCCCTGAGGAGGATCCTACTGAGGTTAACAATGAACTTTAAACACTTTCTTAAAATTGTTTCCCCAAAGGAATTATGGGAGAAAAAAATGGTGCTAAATGTGATACTTTAAATGAAACATTTACTATAGATTATTGTCTCTTTAAAATCTCCCGAGCTTTTAAAGATCAACCTGTGAGCTGTAGTTTCTACAGTGCATACTATGCAAAGCTGTATTATTTTAAAAAACTGAATAAGTAACATTTCATTTCTCACTGCCTTGGTGACCAAAAATAACAATCTTGTGTAAGGACATGTCAAACAATTATTTTTAAGTACAAGACTGATTATGCTTGTCATCCATTCAGGTTCCTGAAGAATATGGGATCGATTGGAACGGACCTCACTGCCTTCATCGAGGCACTGTGTCAGTCCCCGAGGTTCAGCTGGCCCGTGAGCTCTCAGATGAAGAGGTTGCAATTGTGCCAGCTCCAGGAGTTTCTGTTACTGATGCACTTAGACTATATGTAGAGACTGTGGAAGTGTTATCAAGAATCTTAGACTGATGTCCAACCCATGTTTTTATTTGTTGTGTTAGAACAAGCAAGGAAAAACTGAAAGTTTACTTTCCTTTTAAAAGAAAGGAAAAAAAGCTGTTTCTTTGAAGCTTCCTGTCTCATTATGGTCCACAGAATGACTAACATGAATGCTGTACTGTTAGCACTGAAGGTGCAGAACAGTTTGATTTTAGTAAATGGAAGAAAAAAAAGTCAACTACTGCACAGTGTGTTAATGTTTTCAAAGACACTGAACTTGTGTCAATTCATCTGAACTGTGTATGCATTGACATTAGGGCTGGGCAATATGGAGAAAATCAAATATCACATTTTTGACCTAACACCTTGATGTCGATATTGCAACGATATTGTAAGGTTGACAATTGGTGCATTCACAAAATATCTTCCACATTTAGATTTCGGATAAATAACTATCATATTGTGGATATAATGACTAAGTGGTAAAAGGCAAATAATAGAACAGCTAGAACAGTCTGGTAAGTTCAGAAAATGACATCACTTTACTGTAATGCAGCTCTCCAAGTCCTGAAGTAAGAAGTTCAGCTTTAAACAGTACGCTTGGAATTTTATCCGCATTGTGGTCAGCCAAACAACAGACAGTGTGTGTGTAGCTTCTTCGGCTAACTTGGACTTGTGCTGGTCGTCTCGTCATATTCCTTCTGGCTCCAATGATATATGGCGCAAAGAGCCTTGCTACCTCCGCTGCAACACAGAAAAACGTAACAGCTCAATGGTCACCAGTCAGCTAAAACAGCCTCTACTTCTATCTTGGGATGCTCAAGCCAGCTAACACCATTTAGCCGATTAGCGAACTAGCTAGGTTTATGCTTCCCCCCCCATTAACAATAAACGTGTCACGCACGAAGCATCATAATACCGCATGCAAATACATGTTCGAGTCGATCTAATTTAACCTACACGTGTGTCCCGAATCATTAAATAGTAGCACACCTGGCTAACATGAAATTACTTAGCTTACCTTGGACAGGTGTACGTGATTGAGCGGCCGGTATCTGCTGTGACTGAGCTGCCGGAGTCACCGGTGCCGCGGGAGCCGTTGGACTTCTGCTCAGAGCTTCCTCAATCAAATTCGCTGCTTCTCTCAGCAGCTCCGGGCAACTTTTAGACATTTTGTCCTGCACCTCACACAGCGTCTCAACATTGGGGCTAGCAGGACCGAGTCTTCTCTTGATTTTTAGCCGTTGCAATGAAAGTTCTGTTTAACCGTGTAACTAAACCAACGTAGAGGTGAATAGCGCCACCCAGTGTATTGGAATGTGTTCAGTAGCTCTGCATCAATCCATTATCCGGAATTGATTTGTCTTGGCTTGATGCAGAGGGTAACCAATCAGGCGTTAGGTTCCGCCTACCAACTTTTGATGGGTCAGTTTGACAGTTTTAAGTAATTCATGAATCACTGCAATGCAGGACCATGAAATGTAAATGTAAATAGTGAAATTATTATATATGTATTTTACATAAAATTAATCGGTATTTGAATTAATTAATGACACATTTAATAACACATTTATGTATTTAATTCTAATTTTAATTAATTAATGACACATTTAAGTAATTATTTAATGGTGTATTTATTTATTTAATTGTGGCACTTTTAGTCCTCCATAGCCATAGAGATTTGTTCACCGAAGTATCTTGTTGTGTTTTTTTTATGAAGCAACATGCTGACTGTTATTCTGATCCTAAGTACCTAACTTACAAAAGCATTATTGGTGCTTTAAATACTACATCTACATATCTATATCATGACTTATTCCTATTGATAAGAATAAGAATTCCTATTGTATAAAATATGATTGGCTGAGTTTTGAGTACATTTGATAGAGAGACTAGTTTGTAGAAATGGTAATGATGAGATGAAGAGACAAGGCCCACTGTGACTGTGTGGATGGATGTATACTGTAGATACTGTAATTGCTGTCTATCTCCCGTGTCGACCAAACAGATGGAATGTAACATGAAGTTGTGTGAGCTGTATGTTTAGCTAAACCTGACATCGTTTCAGAGTCTCAGAGTGTTAAACGTGGAGGTGTGTTGGCTTTGAGATCAGACAGAGAGAAGGATTTGGAGGTACTTAGTTATCTCAGAGGAGGCAGTAGGCACAACTCATGAGTAATACCTGCCAAGCAAAAACTAGGATTAATATGACATTTTCTACATTGAGCAGAAAGCTAGAATTATATATCACTGTATTGGGAGAAGTGACTAAATATGCAGTGTTGAGCAAACATTATGAGATGACACCTTGCATGTTTTGATAAAGTAGCCACATTCCCTATACAGTTCATGTATCATAATTACAGTTATAGGGATCTCTATCCAATCTACCGAGGGACAGTTCAAGTACAAGTGGACTCTTATTAGTCTAGTGTGTGTGTGTGTGTGTGTGTGTGTGTGTGTGTGTGTATGTGTGATTATGAAGATAACTACAGTATTCATTTGGCAGATGAAATCCCGATGTCCATGACTGTAGGATTTACAGCTCTCATGCACTCACATGTCTGGCACCGGGATGAGTGGGATCTATGGTGGATAATGTTCCTGAGGTATTACTCCAGTGGCGCTCGGTGTCTGTGGGTATTTATGGAAGCAGTGTTGACTATGTCACATATGATACTGTTGACCTGTTATTACTGGCACAGACAAAAGGACGAAGGAAGTGACAGAATCTAATGGTGTTTGTTTCAATTTGGCACCCAAGCGAGTCATACAATTATTATCTTAGTTTTAAAAAAAAATCTAATAAGTTCTGTCTGTCTGCCTCATTCCACCACAATCACAGGTTTCATTGAATGAGTAACTATTGTTTACTACGCCACCCCGCATGGTAATAAGAAAAGAATAGTGGAATAATAACGGTGACATGATGTTGATTGGATATGAAGTGTCAACTAGGATAATGTACGTACTGTAGGCTAGTATATGATGATCTTGACATTGATACTCTGTAGCTTTGTCATCATGACATAAATCCTTACTGTATCTGTTTCAAATGATCACCTGACAACATGTGCGTTTAGTAACAGAGAACACCTTATATGGAATTGATACATGATTAATGACATCTATCTATACTTACATAGAAGATGAGTCTCTCATAGAGCAGTCTGTCATTTAAAATTCACTTTCTTTCTCCTTTTCCTCAGAGCCAAGGATGGGATAAGCATCAATCAGTTACGGTTATACTTACCCTGTGTCATATGTGAGCTAAGACCATGTCATAAGACCAGGCTTATTCATCAGTGTCATGTTGCAGCTGTCCTTGGTAGTCCTAAATGAACTCATGACATATGGACTTATTATAACTCATTCATGTAAACATACCAGAATGACAGTCTGATACAGACATCACTGTGGAAATGGAAGGGTAGGTGCGTATCAATTCTCATAGCAGAAAGCTTGACCTATATGAAGCTAGTCACATAAGGACTATCCACAATAGTGGAATTTGCAGTTCGCCTTAAAAATAAAAGCCCCATATTAAAGGTGATGCAAACTGATACAAATAGTGGAATCATGCCATATTTGGACTAGATAATGCTAAACAAGGTTGGAGGGTTGTTATATAAATTCAACAAAAGACAATAATTAGTTAATTTAACAAAAAAAAGAAAAAATCTATTGAAATCGCACTGTGGATATGTATAAGACTTCTGAATTACATTGTGGGCATACTTATATTTCACTGTTCAGCCTTACCTATGGATTGTGGATCAATGAAATGGGGTACCAATCTACTCAGTGACACCCACAGAACACAACTGTGAAGAGATTACACAAATATTAGCATTGTAGCTCTTATTGCGGAACTTTGACTGTGGGAAATCACCTGTACAGTGCAATATGAACGTCAATAAGCACAAATTAACGTATTATTTTTTGGTTTAATTTAGGCAAACTGCAAATTCCACTATTGTGGCTAATCCTTATTGTGGCTAGCTTAACATAGGTGAAATATTGTGACTGTACATGTCTGGAAAAGTATATTACCAACTAAAACTGGTATTTTGCAATTTTTTAAATTGTACCATTATGGATAACAAACAAATAAAATTTATGAATTGATACAGACTGAAATCTATGGATGCAAGATTACATAATGTGGTCCATAAGGTCTACTTCATAAGTGATGATGTAAACAAATTAACATATGTTAAATAGTGTTGCTTATTACCAGAGTCAAACTGAGTCCTCTGTAGCTCAATTGGTAGAGCATGGCGCTTGTAACGCCAGGGTAGTGGGTTCGATCCCCGGGACCACCCATACGTAAAAATGTATGCACACATGACTGTAAGTCGCTTTGGATAAAAGCGTCTGTTAAATGGCATATTATTATTATATTATTAAACAACATCTAAACTAGGCAAATGTAATGCACCTGGACATACTGTATGCTGCCTCTGGCATCACTTCATATGCTGAATATTAACTTGAATATGTATGTAATGCAATCATAAAAATTGTATGAATAGGACATTATATAAAAACCTAAATTGTATATAATTAATGTCAATGATTAAGAGTTGTGCTTTATTCTAAAAACCTTTCATAATACCTTAAACCTTGACTAACTGAGTAATCAGTCTTCTCTAAAATGTGTTTGTCAATAAATAACTCAATATGAGTGATCAGTTTGGGTATTTAATAAAACAAATAAAATGTTTAACAAACAAACAAAGGATAATACAACCACATATATCAAATAAAACTTAATTTATGCCTCAATCACATCATAGAAAATCATCTGAAAATAAATACTGTACATGTCACAGAGAGCAGAGAGCAGAGAGCAGAGAGCAGAGAGCAGAGAGCAGAGAGCAGGGAGCAGGGAGCAGAGAGCAGAGAGCAGAGAGCAGAGAGCAGGGAGTAGGGAGCAGGGAGCAGAGAGCAGGGAGCAGGGAGCAGAAAGCAGAGAGCAGAGAGCAGAGAGCAGAGAGCAGAGAGCAGGGAGCAGAGAGCAGAGAGCAGAGAGCAGGGAGCAGGGAGCAGAGAGCAGAGAGCAGAGAGCAGAGAGCAGGGAGCAGGGAGCAGGGAGCAGAGAGCAGGGAGCAGGGAGCAGAGAGCAGAGAGCAGAGAGCAGAGAGCAGAGAGCAGAGAGCAGACGATATGAGGATCTCATACCTCTCATTTCAACATGCCTTTTATTGACAATCTCTTCATCAGGTCTCCTTTATAAACTATATTCAGTTCATTAATTAAATAATTTAAAGTTATTTTTCAGTTGTGTAAAATAAAATGTCAGTATAGGAGCAAATCATCCAAATATATTACTTTATTTTAAAAGGTAGATTTCAATTTCAATGTACAGCCTCCTATATTGGTTCAGAAGATAGCCCACCATCTTGAAAACAACAGTCATTCTTTCATGTTCGAGTGGATAGTTTTTTTTAAACTTAAAAAATACAAAAACCTCTGTCTGTCTCTCTGTCGCTCTCCATAACATTCAACTAGTATTTCAACTTGGAAAGGGAAACAATACATTATACACTACAGAGAATATACTGTACCAATTCAATGCTCTGTACATTATTGCATCAGAAAACCACAACATATTGCAGCATCGTTTCAAATTAGGGATAATACAGATGTGAATGAAAGGCCCATGGTAACCCTGACAAACAACAGGGTGATACAAAAGGGTTAGCGTCAATTTAATTTCAATTCAGTCAATTCAGGAAGCAAACTGAAAATAACTTAAGTTTAATTGCTGAATTCACGGTTTTGAAATGGAATTCACCCCAACCCTGGATACAAATGATGAAAACTAATAGATTCTATCTTTTCTCTTAGAAATGACTGATGATTACATAATATACTGCAGAAACAAAGTACTGTAAGGGTCTAATCCTGACTTGAGCTCTGCACACTTAACTAACATGTTCTTGAAGAGACTTGAAGTCTCCTGTTGACATCAATGCATCTCAAGTTAAGATTCGGCCCTTACTGAGAAACCAAGAGAATGGTTTCTCTCTTAGAAGTGGGGGCAATGAGAACACTATTACTAAACTATTTGTTACTATGGCTATCTACTGTTAAGTTGCTGCATCAGAAGTAAAGTAAACCAAGAATACAGACTGTTTGATGATAAGAAGAGTTGTGGTGTAGAGATTCAGCTTATTGACTTACACAATACAGACAGAACAGAGGCCAAAACTGCATTACTGTGTTAGTCACTGACATCAAGCAACAACTGAAAAATTGCACTGATTTCACACTACTGGGCCAGACCGAGCAGATCCAAGCTGTACTGCTCTGGCCTGGTTACGCATCCACCCTAGTTGCTGGAACCGTGCTGGAAAGGACAATGTGAGAAGAAAATATTTAAGCCAGATCAGTATGGTTCAGGTTGGCTCTATAATGTGAATCAGGTATGACTGTCCTTCTGTCTGGGGCTGTTATGATTAACACTGTCAAACACACGTAGCTAGAACTGTCCATTCATTTAATCAAATAAGAAGACTATGGGTATTCAAGTCATTCAGGAAGCGGTTTGATTCTCTTTATTATACCACAAGAATCCAATACTTAGACCCTCAGGTCCCTCAGTGGTCTCAGCAGGCCCACTGAACCTCTGTGCTTCATGCCTCAGGGCAACACACGCAGACAGACAAAGGTAAACAAGTTTAATCAAATAAATACACTGTTGTTCGTTCAAGCTTCGCAGTGCAGTAATCCTCTCAGTTCAGTGCAGTGGGTGGGTACTGTCTGTAGTAGGACATCATCCAGTATGCAGTGCACTCACCGCTCCACGAGGTCAGAGGTCCCCTGGTTCTCTGCTCATGTCAGTTTCCCTCGGAAGATGGAGGGGAGGGTGGTGGGGCAGAAGGGGTTGGAGAGGAACGTAGCAGGGGAGATAGGCTTCACCAGGTCCTTCTGAAGAGCCAGCTTTGCCTGGAGGAGAGGAGAGGACAATGGTTTATTTAGGGAGCAATCTATTGATAAAGCAATTATTCTTATTGATTAGCTACAAAAAAAGAAGCAATTATTTTCCATGAGCATACAGGCGTCTTTAAATCCACTGATGCATAAATATTCCTAAACAGTTTTAAGAAACTGCCAATAAATATATTAACTATTAATCCCTGATGTCTAAGCAACTGTTCCTGAGAGGCTTTGATTTGGAACATAGATGATACATACGGCCAGGACTGTAGAGCTGCGTTGTTGTTTGTTGTAAGGGCTGTATTTGGGCTTCATCGGTTTCCCAGCCACTCTGTCCTTGTGCCTTCTGCTGGAGATGTGCTGAGAAAATACAACAACAAAAATCAGTGATGTTACTGTGGGTGAATCCCAAATGGCACCCTATTCACTATATTGTGCACTGCTTTTGACCAGAGTCCCATGGGCCCTGGTCAAAAGCAGTATACTATGAAGGGTAAAGGGTGCCATTTGGGACACATTATGTTGAGCAAATAATAACAAGCTTGTAAGGTCCCTTCAAGCTGTAAAAAGACAACAACCACGGCATACAAAGGCCTGTCACGAGAGACTACCTGTTTGAGCTGTATTTCTGAGTTGACGTGGACATCACAGATCTCACAATGGAACGTCTTGTTCTGTAGTCCGGAACCTTTTAGCACGGTGGTGGCCTGGACTTTGAGCTTCGAGCCCGGTCTGGGATAGGCCTTAATTGGACCTGCTCCGTTCCTCGCCTCAAGCATAGTTTTGTGCTTGGAACCTTCAGGGGACAAAATAAATGGCAAAAACATAATTTAGTACATTGCACACTGAAAATAACCATAGATAAAACATAAAAAGAACAACATTTGATTTGTTAGGATTAAAAGTAAACCAGATTTTCATATTGGTCAGCTTGAGTTCCAACAGTTTTTTTTTCTGACTTGGGTATGACGTCTGACCTCGCTATAACTACATAACAGCGTACATGTCAATGTTAGCTTACATAACAAACATCTGACATATTGTGCCCTTCTGCTTTTATGATGGCTAGCGGGCATTTTTTTTTACAGTAATGTCAATATGGCGTCTTTTGTGACGTTGTGGTCAAGTTGTATACTGGTTGTATAAATATGTTTTTGGAACGTTTTGTTGTCTTTTTAACAACCAGAAAAAATATGTCCATATAACAACCAAAATATGATATCTTTCCCATGACATCTTGATATCCTCATGACAAAAACCTCTTTACCTTGTAACAGAGTGTTGACCTTGTAAAAACAGTTTACAACCAAATTATTAAGTATATACTGTTTAGGGAAAGTGCTGTGTGAAGGTATTTGTGAACATTGTTGTGAGATGGGTGTTAACGAGAGTTAAGGAAAGACTAAACAAGAACAAGCTGAAAGTCTCTGGGAGAGTAACCTTAACACACACACACACACACACACACACAGAACCACACACACCCTCCTCAGAGGGAGTAACACTAACGTTAACACGGCAGTGATGAAACAGAAACAGATGCTGGAACACACCTATGTTGTGGGCCTCCAGCTGCGACAGAGAGTTGACGGCCACTTTGCACAGCGAACAATACAGGAGCTTTATAGCTTTTTCCTCCTCCGACTCAGGCGTGGGCTGAGTTGCTGTAGCAGCAGCAGTGGTGGGGGACACGAGTCCAGGCTTGGTGCTGCTAGTCTTCATAACATACCCCTGTAGTTGTATTGCCGTAGCTGATGGAGGGCTGGCAGGCGTGGGATCACACAGGACGCGATTACAGGGGCTGTGGATGGACATGGCCATTGATGCTGCCAGGGAGCAGGAGGTGGAGATGATGGGGACGAAAGCATTTGGAGAAGCAAAGGTTTTATCCGCCTCACTGGGAGGCACAGTGATTTGCTCTGAGATCAAGAAAGAGGGAGGGAGGGAGGTAGAGAGGGAGGGAGAGAGAGACACACAACATCTGACAGTTAGCCCGGGAGCGCTAAGAATATTACAACTTTTGTTGACACATTTCTTCATCTTTTTATTTTGGTGTGTTGTGTAAGAGTTGTATCCCTGGAGGAGGGAGAGTTCCTTTTCACACAGCAGCAGCTGAATAGCAGTAGAAGCAGGACTGAGCTATTGGGCAGTGTTTTCTGTATCCCTATCTGCGTGTGTGTGTGTATGCGTACGTGTGTGTGTCCATGTGTCCCTGTGTCCATGTTACAGAGCCTTGTCCCCTCCCCCCCTCTACTGTGACACTGAGATGCCCTTTCCCTCCACCCACGCTACTATATTGTACCACAACACCATGGAGGACAGGGCCATTAGGCAAGGCCGCCTGAACTAACACCCACACCCCCACACGATCACTCCACCCTCCACCCCCTCCACCATGCCACCCTTCCACCCCTTCCCACATGCCACACCCACCCTCCAAACCCTGCACTGTAGCTTTTCTATGATTGTCATTCTGCATTCCTCTTCTGAGAATAGTGTTCTCTTTACAATGGCTGACTCTATGATATCTACAAGCTACACGCTCCTACACTGGTCTATTTTTGGTCTAAACTATCATTTGAAACTTAATTAAGCCTTGCTTAATTAAGTCTGATTTTGACTAAAAACTTAACACCACATTTCCTAAGATAAGGTTATTAAATAAATGTGGGTTGCAATGTGTATCTGCACCAACTGGGTCTACAGCGCAGGAGCTAGCAACGGGTTAGTTATATTAGCATCCCAAAGTAACATATTTATTCACAGATAAGAGATGGAAGGAAACACATCAAAGAAATATTGACAAATATTGGTGCTTGTTTGAATCAGTAAAACTTTGAACTGAATCTAGACTCAAAAATATTAAAGGAACAACCCTGTTTTACCTTTCCCAGGATTTCACCATTTCACCCAGTCAGAGTCAAACCTTTAATACAGAATTACTCTGAAGATAAAAAGGGTCAGAGACGATTTACAGAGCTCCCAATTACACCAATAATACAGCATGCTGTGTTCATTCAGTTTCAAGACATTACATAAAAGAGAGCCTCTTACGTAAACCATTAAAGCTAGCAATTTTAATGATTTAGTTCAGGGGTAGGCAACTAGATTCAGCCGCGGGCCGATATTTGTCAGAGCGCATGGTCGGGGGCCGGAATATAATGCCGCTGTCTGATGAAAACATCTTCTCTCCAAACTGACACCTTTCAGGAAATGAAAAAAAAAGGCCATCTTTTTCCATTAACAAACATATAATTATGAAATTTCGAAAACCATTTTGAATACATTTTCTTGGTCCTAAAGTCATGAATTGTTCAGAGTACATTGAAAGGCGTTACTGCTTGCAAGAAATGTAATAAAACATAAAAACAAGGTTTTCATCAGACAGCAACAATAATTATAATAATTTGTACTATGCCCAAAATATATTGTATTTGAAAATAAAAATCATTTCATACCTTAATTACAGTGCCTTCAGAAATTATTCATACCCCTTGACTTATTCCACATTTTGTTGTGTTACAGCTTGAATTCCAAATGCATTAAATATATATTTATTTACCCATCTACACACAATACCCCATTATGACAAAGTGAAAACATGTTTTTAGTAATTTATGCAAATGTTTTGAAAATGAAATACAGAAATATCTCATTTACATAAGTATTCACAGCCCTGAGTCAATACTTTGTAGAAGCACCTTTGGCAGTGATTACAGCTGTGAGTCTTTCTGGGTAAGTCTCTAAGAGCTTTCCACTCCTGGATTGTGTAACATTTAGCCATTATTATTTTCATAATTCTTCAAGCTCTGTCAAATTGGTTGTTGATCATTGCTAGACAACCATTTTCAAGTCTTGCCATAGATTTCCAAACACATTTAAGTCAAAACTGTAACTCGGCCACTCAGGAACATTCACTGTCTTCTTGGTTAGCAACTCCAGTGTAGATTTAGCCTTTTGTTTTAGGTTATTGTCCTACTGAAAGGTGAATTCATGTCCCAGTGTCTGGTAGAAAGCAGACTGAACCAGGTTTTCCTCTAGGATTTTGCCTGTGCTTAGCTCCATTCTATTAATTTTTTATCCTGATAAACGCCGCAGTCCTGTGCCTACTTTCAAGTCCTTAACGATTACAAGCATACCCATAACATGATGCAGCCACCACTATGCTTGAAAATATGGAGACTGGTACTCAGTAAAGTGTTGTATTGGATTTGCCCCAAACATAACACTTTGTATTCAGGACAAAAAGTTAATTGCTTTGCCACATTTATTGCCATATTACTTTAGTGCCTTGTTGCAAACAGGATGCATGTTTTGGAATATTTTTATTCTGTACAGGCTTCCTTCTTTTCACTCTGTCAATTAGGTTAGTATTGTGGAGTAACTACAATGTTGTTGATCCATCCTCAGTTTTCTCCTATCACAGCCATAAAACTCTGTAACTGTTTTGAAGTCACCATTGACCTCATGGTGAAATTCCTGAGAGGTTTCCTTCCTCTCCGGCAACTGAGTTAGGAAGGACGCCTGTATCATTGTAGTGACTGGGTGTATTGAAACACTATCCAAAGTGTAATTAATAACTTCACCATACTCAAAGGGAAGTTTACCCATCTACCAATAGGTGTCATTCTTTGCAAGGCATTGGAACACCTCCCTGGTCTTTGTGGTTAAATCTGTGTTTGAAATTCACTGCTCGAGTGAGGGACCTTACAGATAATTGTATGTGTGGTGTACAGAGATGAGGTAGTCTTTCAAAAATCATGTAAAACACTATTATTGCACACAGAGTGAGTCCATGCAACTTATTATGTGGCTTGTTAAGCACATTTTTACTCCTAAACGTATTTAGGCTTGCCATAACAAAAGGATTGAATACTTATTGACTCAAGACATTTCAGCTTTTCATTTGTTATTCATTTGTAAAAATTATGGGATATCGTGTGTAGGCCAGCGACAAAAATATAGAATATTTTTTGCTGAATTCCTGGTGTTTTTTGTCTCTTAAAAAAAAGCACTTGCGGGCCGGTTTTGGCCCATGGGCCTCTTGTTGCCGACCCCTAATTTAGTTATTCAACTTTCTCTGGTTAAACTGAATCTGACTTCAGCCTCTCTGTTTGCCAAAAACCCAGTGATTAGCAACAACAGCATCCCCCCGACAGAGAGTGGGGCTGCATCCCAAATGGCACCCTATTCCCTATGTACTGCACTGCTTTTGACCAAGGCCCATATGGCTCAGGTGAAAAGTAGTGCACTACATAGGGAATAGGGTGCCATTTTGGTATGCAGACAAAGAATACTAACGAGCAGCATCGCTGGCTCTGGCTCGTTATATTTTACATTTACATTTTAATCATCTAGCATACGCTCTTATCCAGAGTCACTTACAGTTACTGCATTCATCTTAAGATAGCTCGGTGGTTGTCACGACTTCGGCCGAGGCTGCCTCCCCTCCTTGTTCGGGCAGGCTTCGGCGTTCGTCGTCACCGGAGTACTAACCATTGCCGCCCCAATCATCATCACAATTGTCTTGTCTCGTTATCACACATACCTGGTTCTTATCCCCTAATTAGTCCATGTATACGTGTTCCCTCTGCCCCCTTGTCCTTGTGGGTGATTGTTTATTGTGAAGGTTAGTGAAGCTCGGTGGAGCTCGTGTATTTTGTTAGACGGGAGTATTTTCCTGTGTGCCTTGTATTTTCCAGGATCGTGTTCTTCGAGACCATCTGGCCAACCGGATCCAGCCGCCTACACCCCAGCACCCGGAGGGATCCAGATATCCCGACCAAGGGCGTTTGATGGGACGACAGCGCTGTGCCAGGGATTCCTCCTCCAATTGGAGCTTTACTTCGCCAGCATCAGGTCAGAACTATCGGAGTGGGAGAAGGTGTCCGTCCTCGTTTCCTGCCTCTGTGGGAAAGCCCTGGAGTGGGCCAACGCGGTGTGGAACGAGGGAGGAGCCGCGTTGGAGGACTACAGGGAGTTCGCTCGCCTCTTTCGGGCGGTCTTCGATCACCCGCCCGAGGGTAGAGAGGCGGGTGAGCGACTGGTCCATCTGAGGCAGGAGACGAGGACCGCGCAGGACTTCGCGTTGGCAGCGGGGTCTGGGTGGAACGAGCGGGCCCTGATCGACCATTTCCGGTGCCATCTGCGGGAGGACGTCCGACGGGAGCTAGCCTGCCGAGACACCATGTTGTCCTTCAACAAACTGGTGGACATGGCCATTCGTTTGGACAACCTGCTGGCAGCCAGAGGACGTCCTGGTAGGGGTCTGCCCGTTTCCACCCCGGACGACTCGGATCCCGAGCCGATGAAGCTGGGTGGAGCCGCCGGCCGAGAGAGCGGAGGACAGCGACAGTGCCACTCTGGTGGAACGAAGGGACAATACACCATATGTCGTAGTCAACGTTCTTTTGGGCTGGGAGGCGGCAGGCAGGGCACACGCATCACCCCAGGTATCGAACACCCACACTTGTTCAGAGCCCTCTGCTGCGCACTGTACCCTACCTATCCACTTTCCCGATCTCATGGTAGTTCCCCAGTGTAAGGCGCTAGTCGATTCAGGCGCAGCTGGGAACTTTATGGACAGGGCATTCGCAAACCGTCAAGGCATAACATTGGTTCCCCTATCCATTCCACTCCCCATCAGAGCACTCGATGGTCGACCAATAAGGTCCGGGTTTGTTATGGAAGTCACGATACCAGTCACCATGATCACCCAGGAGTCTCATTTTGAGCAGGTAATTTTTTTCGATTATTGAATCTCCTGCTTTCCCTGTGATATTAGGTATCCCTTGGCTAGCACTCCACAACACCACCTTCTCATGGCCGCAGAGGGCTCTCACAGGGTGGTCGCGAGTGTGTCAGGGTAGGTGTCTGGATGTTTCCGTTGGTGCAACCACGGTGGAAAGTCCAGACAGTACCTCCACCGTGCCCATTCCCCCTGAATACCTCGATCTGGCGCAAGCGTTCTCTAAAACGCAGGCGACTAAATTACCACCTCATCGGGTGGGGGATTGCGCAATAAACCTCTGGGTAGACGCTGTACCTCCCAGGAGTCATATATACCCCCTGTCACAGGCTGAAATGGTGGCTATGGAAACCTATGTCACCGAGTCCCTGCGCCAGGGGTATGTACGTCCCTCTACTTCACCCACCTCCTCAAGTTTCTTCTTTGTGAAGAAGAAGGACGGAAGGTCTGCACCCGTGCATTGATTATCGACCAAGATTTAGTTATCCTCTCCCCCTCATTCCTTCGGTGATTGAATCAATGCATGGGGCGCGCTTCTTCACCAAATTAGATCTCAGGAGTGCGTACAACCTGGTGCGTATCCAAGAGGGAGATGAGTGGAAGACAGCATTCAGCACAACCACGGGGCATTATGAATACCTGGTGATGCCCTATGATTTGTTGAATGCTCCCTCAGTTTTCCAGTCCTTTGTGAACGAGGTGTTTCGGGACATGCTTGGTCGCGGTGTAGTGGTCTACATCGATGACATCCTGGTGTATTCCGCTACGCGTGCCAAGCATGTGTCCCTGGTTCGCAAGGTGCTGGCCCGACTGTTGGAAAATGACCTTTACACTAAGGCAGAGAAGTGTATGTTTTTCCAGCAGTCCGTCTCCTTCCTTGGATACCGCATTTCCACAGGTGTGGAGATGGAGGGAGATCGCATTTCAGCCATGCGTAATTGGCCGACTCCAACCACGGTTAAGGAGGTGCAGCGCTTCCTTGGCTTTGCCAACTACTATCGGAGGTTTATCCGGGGCTTTGGCAAGGTCGCAGCCTTCATTACCTCCCTGTTGAAGGGTGGGCCGTCCCGGCTCCGCTGGTCTGCTGAGGCTGACCTGGCCTTCAGCAAACTGCGGGGTCTGTTCACCTCAGCCCCAGTACTGGCCCACCCCGATTCATCACTACCGTTCGTAGTGGAGGTGGATGCGTCCGAGGTTGGGATAGGAGCTGTCCTGTCTCAAAGCTCGGGTACGCCACCCAAGCTCCGCCCCTGTGCATTGGCTCGAAGGGGCGAAAACACCCTTTCCTCGTCTGGACGGACCACCGTAACCTGGAGTACATCCGGGCAGCGAGGAGGCTGAATCCTCGCCAGGCCAGGTGGGCCCTATTCTTCACTCGGTTTGATTTTACACTGTCATACATTCCGGGTACGAAGAACGTGAAGGCAGACGCACTGTCCCGGCTGTCTGACACAGAGGGGAGGCCCAGAGACAACACCCCCATACTCCCGGCCTCCTGCATTGTGGCGCCGGTAGTATGGGCGATGGACGCGGATATAGAGCAGGCATTACGCACAGATCCATCTCCACTGCAGTGTCCAGCTGGGCTGTGGTACGTGCCTGCTCTTATCCGTGATCGTCTGATCTTCTGGGCACACACGTCACCCTCCTCTGGTCACCCAGGTATCGGCCATACAGTGCACTGCTTGAGCGGAAAGTACTGGTGGCCTACCTTGGCTAAGGACGTGAGGGTGTACGTCTCCTCCTGCTCGGTGTGCGCCCAGAGTAAGGCACCTAGGCACCTCCCAACGGGTAAGCTACAACCATTATCAGTTCCACAACGACCATGGTCTCATCTTAGTATTGATTTTCCCCTCTCCCAAGGTAACACCACCATCCTGGTCGTTGTGGACCGCTTCTCCAAGTCCTGCCGCCTCCTTCCTCTGCCCGGTCTCCCCACGGCCCTGCAGACTGCGGAGGCCCTGTTTACTCACGTCTTCCGGCACTACGGGGTGCCAGAGGATATCGTGTCCGACCGAGGTCCCCAGTTCACGTCCAAGGTTTGGAAGGCGTTCATGGAATGTCTGGGGGTCTCTGTCAGCCTGACCTCTGAGTTCCACCCCGAGTCAAATGGGCAGGTGGAACGAGTAAATCAGGATGTGGGTAGGTTCCTGCGGTCCTACTGTCACGACTTCGGCCGAGGCTGCCTCCCCTCCTTGTTCGGGCAGGCTTCGGCATTCGTCGTCACCGGAGTACTAACCACTGCCGCCCCAATCATCATCACAATTGTCTTGTCTCGTTATCACACACACCCGGTTCTAATCCCATTTTTTTACATTTTAGTCACACACACACACACTTCTAGTGAGTGAGTATTACAGACGTCACTCTGCTTGCTTAGGGAGTACCGCGTCCTCTTGATTCGGCCCAGGACGTCTGCCTTGCTAGCACACGTGACCGCCCACCTTGACAACGTACCAACCATTTGAGCTATTGAAAAACATCTAATTAGCTAGCTCCATCCGTGACATTTCAAGCTAGCTGTGGCGTGTGCCTTGTATTTTCCAGTGCACCTGTTTTGTGCCCTGGAGTGTGTTTGACGCAGTTCTGCGTAATCCTGTATTTTGCGGATTAAAGCCTGTTATTCTGTGATTTATCCTCCTGCGCCTGACTCCTTCAACACCACCTCATCACAGTGGGACAACCACATATCACAGTCGTAGTAAGTACATTATTCCACAATAAAGAAGTTATCAGCAAAGTCAGTGCTATTACGTTACAGAACTTCAACCTAATCTCTGAAGATGTAACTCTACATCAGAGGGCTGAGCAGTGAGTTTCTGTCTGTGTCCCAAATAGCACCCTATCACCTATACAGAGCACTACTTTTGACCAGGGTCCTATGGGCCCTGGTGAACAGTAGTGCACTATATAGGGAATAGGGTGCCATTTGGGATGCAGTTTCTGAAGCCCTCTAATCTTCTGCTGGGCTCTCCTCAGATGTGAGGCCAGACAGTGTGACTTTTAAAAAATCAAGATCCAATAGAAATGACTGCAAATGTACATTTTACAACACTTTGCTTTGGAATGAAGCTTTCTTTTCTGCCTTGGTTGGTAACATGCTTACCATACATCTGGTATATTCTGACTATATTCACCTATACATTAGTCATTAGATATTATCGTCTTTCCCCTATAAGCTACTCCCACAGAGCACCGTGGAATGAAAAAACATACATGGATGTGGTCTAACTGAACTCTATCCCAGTGAGCAAATGGTTGAAAATAAATAATTTCAACCAGTTTTGAACAATGGAATGTCCCATCCACACACTCAGTAATGAGCATGGCACTTGTCACACTAATGCCTGTTAATGAGTTATTCAATTGGTTAAGGCATTCCTCAGACTTGGCAATTTAATGAGAAAAACACTTATTCCAAAGACATACAGTACACACACGCACAAGTGCGCGCATGCGCACACACGCACACACACACACACACACACACACACACACACACACACACACACACACACACACACACACACACACACACACACACAACCACACACACAACCACACACACACACACCCACACACACACACACACTGGTGACAACGAGCTATGGGAATAACAACACACAAAGTATGCGATGACACAAAGAATGACATACAAGACTAAAGCATGGAGAGGAATGGATGACATACAAGACTAAAGCATGGAGAGGAATGGATGACATACAAGACTAAAGCATGGAGAGGAATGGATGACATACAAGACTAAAGCATGGAGAGGAATGGATGACATACAAGACTAAAGCATGGAGAGGAATGGATGACATACAAGACTAAAGCATGGAGAGGAATGGATGACATACAAGACTAAAGCATGGAGAGGAATGAATGACATTCAAGAGCAAAAGTTTCCATATACCTGATTGGTCAGAGTTGCTGGCCATGACAGAGTTGGGTGAGGTGGTGCTGGTGATTTTCATTGCACTGTCCAGGGAAGGAGGAAGAGTAGTAGCAGGAGGGGAACTCTTGGGCGGCTTATTCTTGGTGTTCTCCTGTGCTTTGAGCTTCTTGGCATGTTTACTGCCTTTGTAGTGTGCCTCGGCTTGGCTCTGCAGAAGCAGAACAAATGAATCATGCAATCAGGCTTGTTTCTCACACAACGGGTCTCAGTATCACATCATGGACTGCAATCACACACACACAGACGAAGACATACATACTCTCACACACACACACACAGGCACACACAGACACACACACACAGACACACACACACACAAAAACCTCTTTACCTTGTAACAGAGTGTTGACCTTGTAAAAACAGTTTACAACCAAATTATTACAATGTGTAGTATATACTGTTTAGGGAAAGTGCTGTGTGAAGGTATTTGTGAACATTGTTGTGAGATGGGCGTTAACGAGAGTTAAGGAAAGACTAAACAAGAACAAGCTGAAAGTCTCTGGGAGAGTAACCTTAACACACACACACACACACACACACTTCAATCACGCCAAGGAAAAACACAGCTTTCAATAGGCATGCCCAATCAGAAGGAAAATGAGAGAGATGCTTGAAAGTGTTTGATTTGTAGACCGGATCAGGATATTAGGATTTTCATAAAGCCGACGGGAAGAAGTTGTGTGTGTGTGTGTGTGTGTGGGGGGGGGGGGGGGATCTAGTGAGTGAGTATTACAGACGTCACTCTGCTTGCTTAGGGAGTACCGCGTCCTCTTGATTCGGCCCAGGACGTCTGCCTTGCTAGCACACGTGACCGCCCACCTTGACAACGTACCAACCATTTGAGCTATTGAAAAACATCTAATTAGCTAGCTCCATCCGTGACATTTCAAGCAAGCTGTGGCGTGAGCTTACGCCTGGCAAACCGGTGCGCCTGGCGTACCATACCCTGTTCAAAGGCACTTACATCTTGTGTCTTGCCCATTCACCCTCTGAATTGCACAGATACACAATCCATGTCTCAATTGCCTCAAGGCTTAAAAATCCTGATTGAAGTGGATTTAACAAGTGACATCAATAAGGGATCATAGCTTTCACCTGGATTCACCTGGTCAGTCTATGTCATGGAAAGAGCAGGTGTTCTTAATGTTTTGTACAATCAGTGTATATCAGGGGTGGGTAAACTATGTGGGGAGGGGCATACTAGATAGAAAGTATGTAGAAATTATAAATAGACATATATTTTCAAATAACTGCCCTTTTTCTGGCACGCAAATTGATTTTGACGAACAAATCGGTCAAGAAAAAATATGTTGGGCCAGACAACATTTGTCATGGCATTTTTCGTGAACCATGTGAGATGGAAGACTCTGGCCTCAATGACTTTTAAAGGTATGTGATCCTACTCATCACACATATATATTTCAAATCCCTGTGGCTATAGGAAAGGAATACTGACGCTGCCTTGCTCTCAAACAAAGATGCATAATTTGAGGAGCAAACTGAAGTGAAGATATCCCTGTCCTTATACAGTGGGGAGAACAAGTATTTGATACACTGCCGATTTTGCAGGTTTTCCTACTTACAAAGCATGTAGAGGTCTGTAATTTTTATCATAGGTACACTTCAACTGTGTTGATTGATTTGTAAGTAATTAATTTGCATTTTATTGCATGACATAAGTATTTGATACATCAGAAAAACAGAACTTAATATTTGGTACAGAAACCTTTGTTTGCAATTACAGAGATCATACGTTTCCTGTAGGTCTTGACCAGGTTTGCACACACTGCAGCAGGGATTTTGGCCCACTCCTCCATACAGACCTTCTCCAGATCCTTCAGGTTTCTGGGCTGTTGCTGGGCAATACGGACTTTCAGCTCCCTCCAAAGATTTTCTATTGGGTTCAGGTCTGGAGACTGGCTAGGCCACTCCAGGACCTTGAGATGCTTCTTACGGAGCCACTCCTTAGTTGCCCTGGCTGTGTGTATCGGGTCGTTGTCATGCTGGAAGACCCAACCACGACTCATCTTCAATGCTCTTACTGAGGGAAGGAGGTTGTTGGCCAAGATCTCGCGATACATGGCCCCTTCCATCCTCCCCTCAATACGGTGCAGTCGTCCTGTCCCCTTTGCAGAAAAGCATCCCCAAAGAATTATGTTTCCACCTCCATGCTTCACGGTTGGGATGCTGTTCTTGGGGTTGTACTCATCCTTCTTCTTCCTCCAAACACGACGAGTGGAGTTTAGACCAAAAAGCTCTATTTTTGTCTCATCAGACTACATGACCTTCTCCCATTCCTCCTCTGGATCATCCAGATGGTCATTGGCAAACTTCAGACGGGCCTGGACATGCGCTGGCTTGAGCAGGGGGACCTTGCGTGCGCTGCAGGATTTTAATCCATGACGGCGTAGTGTGTTACTAATGGTTTTCTTTGAGACTGTGGTCCCAGCTCTCTTCAGGTCATTGACCAGGTCCTGCTGTGTAGTTCTGGGCTGATCCCTCACCTTCCTCATGATCATTGATGCCCCATGAGGTGAAATCTTGCATGGAGCCCCAGACCGAGGGTGATTGACCGTCATCTTGAACTTCTTCCATTTTATAATAATTGCGCCAACAGTTGTTGGCTTCTCACCAAGCTGCTTGCCTATTGTCCTGTAGCCCATCCCAGCCTTGTGCAGGTCTACAATTTTATCCCAGCTCTCTGGTCTTGGCCATTGTGGAGAGGTTGGAGACTGTTTGATTGAGTGTGTGGACAGGTGTCTTTTATACAGGTAACGAGTTCAAACAGGTGCAGTTAATACAGGTAATGAGTGGAGAACAGGAGGGCTTCTTAAAGAAAAACTAACAGGTCTGTGAGAGCCGGAATTCTTACTGGTTGGTAGGTGATCAAATACTTAAGTCATGCAATAAAATGCAAAATAATTACTTAAAAATCATACAATGTGATTTTCTGGATTTTTGTTTTAGATTCCGTCTCTCACAGTTGAAGTGTACCTATGATAAAAATTACAGACCTCTACATGCTTTGTAAGTAGGAAAACCTGCAAAATCGGCAGTGTATCAAATACTTGTTCTCCCCACTGTAACATTTACAGAAAACCCCTAGGTATCCATGGAAACTCAGAACTTCCAACCAGGAGTGAGAATTATCTTAAGAGAAAGTCACTAAATTGTGGGCACATGAGTCACTTGTGAAATTAGATTATTGCTGTGACTCAAGTGTTGCATCCCCAATGGCACCCTATGGGCCCTGGTCAAAAGTAGTGCACTATATAGGGAATAGGGTGCCATTGGGGATGCAGCCAAGATGACTCACCCATACTACTGTGGTGACAAGTCAGATGAAACACCAGAGGAAATGGAAAATCAAGTGTGTTTTCTCTGTCACAGATCAAATTAGACACTGTGTGTGTGTGTGTGTGTGTGTGTGTGTGTGTGTGTGTGTGTGTGTGTGTGTGTGTGTGTGTGTGTGTGTGTGTGTGTGTGTGTGTGGACACGGTGTGTGTATGAATGAGAGAAGGGTTTAAATATCTGCTTTCCTGATAAGCAATATTCTCATCCCATTCTCATCCCTGATTTCAAGCATTTTTCTAAGAAAGCATTTATGAATAGATATAGTGGAACAATCCTTTAATAATATATATTTTGCAAAGATAATGAACAACTGAAAGAGTACCAGAAGAGAGTACACACTAGAAAAAGGCTAACCTACTGTAGATACAAAGAGCGAGTAAACGTGTCTGTTACCTACAGTAGATGTAATGTAGTTGTCAATGACATCAAATTCCTGATTAGAGTACCAGAAGTGAGTACACATGAAAAGGCTAACATACAGTACTGTAAACACCTTTCTGTTGCTACTTTTAGTAGGTGGTGTTGTCAATGATATCAGTATATTACTCAATAGCTACTTGTGAATTCCTCCAGGCTATTCTCATCTATTGTATACATAGAGCTGTCAAAGAGAGAAACACACAGGCACACTGTTACAACCTGTTTTTGGATCACACTGACTAGTGTTTGCATTTGTTCTCCATTACAGACACCTTAGGTTCATTATGCATGATGTCAGCAATCTGAGATTTTATAGAGACATTTATAGCTTGAGGGCCAAGTGCCAGTCTCGTGAATGGAGTTCGCCTGATGCTCTTTAAAACCACTCTCTTTCTCAGCATTTCTCTCTCTCCCTCTCTCTTTCTCTCTTTCTTGCGCTCTTGCTGTCTCTGCACCCCTCTCTCTCACTCTCTCTGCCTCTCTGTCTCTCGCTCTCTGCATCACTCTGCATTTCTCTCTCCCTCTTTCACTCTATTCCCCCGTTCTTTTTCACTTAGCATCCCCTCTCTTCCACCTCCCCCACCCCCACTCCTCCTCCTCCCCCCTCCCTCTCTCTCTTTCTTTTTATTTTTCCTGTCTGCTTCACTACGTTGTTCCCCCCACGCCTGTCTAGTCCATGTTTCCTCCATGGTACTTCTAAACAGTCAGTGACAGCCAGCCTGTGACTGTTCTGTTCTGCAGTACTGCTGCTTTCCTTGCGTGCTTATGAAACACTCACTCCTGTACTGCAGTGGCTGTCGGATGCCTGTGATGTGTGTGTGTGTGTGTGTGTGCATGCATGCATGCGTGTGTGCGTGGGTGTATGTGTGTTTGTGTGTGTATGTGTGCAGCCCTATACCCCCAGACTGAATCATTGACTATCTAAGATGAATCAGCCAATTATGCTCTATGAGTGTACGGGTTTTCACGCCAGCTGCGACAACTAATACTTTTCTCTCTCAGTTCACCTCAGTCACAGCTAGCTGTCACAACTACTACCTTTCTCTCTCAGTTCACCTCAGTCACAGCTAGCTGTCACAACTACTACCTTTCTCTCTCAGTTCACCTCAGTCACAGCTAGCTGTCACAACTACTACCTTTCTCTCTCAGTTCACCTCAGTCACAGCTAGCTGTCACAACTACTACCTTTCTCTCTCAGTTCACCTCAGTCACAGCTAGCTGTCACAACTACTACCTTTCTCTCTCAGTTCACCACTGTCACAATAACAGAGTATATCCAGTCATCCAACCTCACCTTGGTGTCGTAACTCCTTCCCAAAAACCTTTGGTCTAGATACTGTAATGTTGGTGAAGATTTTAGCCCTGGCAGACTGCATGTCAATCTAAACACGTATCGGTTATTCAATAACGGTTACTGGTTGACCAAATAAATATAAAATAAAACCAGATAGACTTTTTAAAAAAGTTAAATTTTTTTTGTTGTACTATTGCAGCGTGTTATGGTATTATAGCTGTTTTATTTTCCACTCTTAGTGAGGCAACTAGAGAGGGTCGGCAGATGTGTGTGGTGTTGTGGCCTAGTTAAGTTGGGCTTTTAGCAACAACTAATCTCGACATATTCATTATCATGAGAACTCCATTCATTACACATGGCAAATACACTTGAAACTTGGTTTCTCTTTGTGGGATATACAGTGGGGAGAACAAGTATTTGATACACTGCCGATTTTGCAGGTTTTCCTACTTACAAAGCATGTAGAGGTCTGTAATTTTTTATCATAGGTACACTTCAATTGTGAGAGACGGAATCTAAAACAAAAATCCAGAAAATCACATTGTATGATTTTTAAGTAATTAATTTGCATTTTATTGCATGACATAAGTATTTGATCACCTACAAACCAGTACGAATTCCGGCTCTCACAGACCTGTTAGTTTTTCTTTAAGAAGCCCTCCTGTTCTCCACACATTACCTGTATTAACTGCACCTGTTTGAACTCGTTACCTGTATAAAAGACACCTGTCCACACACTCAATCAAACAGACTCCAACCTCTCCACAATGG